GCCCACATATGGGATGTGTATGAGGGGTGCCGAATATCCCGGAGGTATGGGGGAAAAGTGGGGGTCGTGTTAGGTTGGCTTTTTCACTCTCTCTCTCGTCCAAGTTTTCCATCTGGACATATATGGAGGAAGTGTGGTGGTTCGGTTGTAGATGTTACGAGAGCCATTTGATACAACACATGATAATTCAAATATGTGCACGAACCCTATGAATTTACACTAGTAGAAAACAGGGCTTTCGTTCGACTAGAAAAGAGCATTAATCCCGGTTGCATTACGAATCGGGACTAATTCCCGGTTCGAGCGGCGAGGGCACCGTACAGGCATTACTCCCGGTTCAAATGGGACCTTTAGTCCCGGTTGGTGACACGAACTGGTACTAAAGGGTGCGATGCCCATTATGAACCGGGACTAAAGGCCCTTATGAACCGGGACTAAAGACCCTTTTTCTACTAGTGTTAGGTCAAGAGGAGATAGAGTGGGTTGAGGAGGAGGAGAGGCTGGAATTGAACCGGGACTTACAAAGCGAAATTACTTGCCCCCCTTTCAGTATGTGTGTGTCGCTGCCGGGTCTTAGAGAACTTTCAGCAGATCTGTACTGTCTTCTTCTTATATTGGGTTCTCCGCAAGTGCGCCGGCTTGGTTGCTGCCTTCCCTCCTTGCAAATAGTTTAATCCTACCTTGCTGTACATCTCTAATGATTCCTTGAGACGACCTGGTTCCATATGCCTCCCACTCATATTTCTTAGCAGATTGCATTGGTTCAACCCATCGTTTATTGTCACTGCTCTCTCTTGATAACATAGTTAGAGGTGACAGGAGGCTGCAGAGAGCAATGCTTCCTTTATAAGTGTCAATCATACTTTAGCTGTGAATGGTTGGTGAGCACTTTAACTATTCGTCCCTGCTAGGTCGTAAATCTTATCCCTAGCGTCAATTAACTCCAAACCACACACCTTGGTATTACACTACATTGCTACTATCCCTTCTTCTGCTCGAAAATCAGTGGCGTTTAGGTATTTCTACAGCCATATAGAGTGTGGCATGTCATGTGTTTCCTTATGCTTCCCATTCATAATGTACTGAGCATAACAACCCATCATCATTGTCACTGCTCTCTCTCTCTCTCTGCTCTTGATGGTACAGTAGAAAGGCCCAAACTAAAATAATTATGTCATCAAGTACAATAGAAGATTTGAATTAAGGATCTTCAGTTTGATTTGATGGTTCTGCATCTAATGAAAACAGGGGAAAGGCATATTTTAAGTCATGTAGCGAAGCGAGAGAATAGGTTAATGATTGCTGCTGGGATGTGAGCGTCACTGCCTCACTGGCAGATGTGGTTGTGTGGCAGCACAAGATTGTGGTGAGTCTAGTAGAGGTTCTATGCTAGCCGCGAGAGGCTGCATCTTTGTGTTTACCTGTGTGGCAAGCAATCATCCAACGCTGGTCACTTGCTCAAGTACCAAACTGATTTGTGCATTCATTGTTCGACCGGTTCAAGGACTCAACGTCTTTTTGAAATCGAAGCAGTGGATGTAACCGAGTGTTGTGTTGTTGTACTATATATCTGTTTGCTCAGTATAGTTTTGCTAGATTTATCCGAACAAGCGATATATCAAGTCCTGTCCTGAGAGACACTGAAATATAGTGTAGTGGTTAAACTGTTCTCCAATGAAAAGTTCAAATTTACCGATTCCCTCCTTTGTTCAGTGTCTCTGTAGGATCGAAGGTTCAGTCCGTACCCAAGAAGGCCAAAGAGATAATACACTTTTCTAGAGATCAGCTGATGGGATCGGCATTTGTTGCATTTGGCATCATATTATTTGTGGGTTTCTTCTACGCCACTGTTGTGTCCAAAATGCTCCCACCTTATGAGAACTGGCTTCTATCTGCCATCCAAAATGACAGGTAAAGCTTTCAAAACAAAATAGATGATCACCAAATTGAATTTTTTTTTCCTTTGTAGCTGATGTTTAATTGTGGACTTTTCACTTAGTTATTGTAAACTATTTAGCAGAATATGTAAATTTGTATGTGCCTGCCTTATTGTAAACTAATCGGATCTAGTTAGAAGTTAATGCCATTTAATTTGATCTTTCACTTACCAGGTATTACTGCCTACTCGTGCCCTTGACACTTCCTGTGATAATTGTGGCTGTCTATCTGCATTGGCTAAGCATGAAGATGTTCAAGCATGCGTGAAGAACTGCACATCTGTTTTACAGAAGAAGCCAGTTTCCAAGCGTAAATTGATGGCAACTTACTAAATTGACCTCATAGTGTCAGTATTAGGTATTTAAATGAGCACATTTATGTTTAGAAAGTGTAGTTTTATTTGTGAAATGCTTATGATGGGAAATACATATTTACTTGTTAAATGTTTATATGATGGAAATTAGCACTTGTAGTTCTTATATAATTTTTCTTTCTCAATGGTGAAATTCCTGGCCTCTCGTTTAAATAGATAGTAGGTTTATAGGTAGATTTCTATGTGTCTTGTGCACATGTGTATGCCCTGTGTACCATATCTACTGTATTGACCCTACAAATGTGTTAGCATAGTTTTTTGCTGTCAACACAAACAACCGTTTCTTATTATGTAGAACTCTTCTCTTGTTCCTTTGGTGTGTCACTTCGTTTTACTTTCTGCTGATGGAAAGACAATGCCATAGCGTTTTTTAACCCTTTTTGCATAATCGCAGATGGCTAACTCTGTTCTCTATTTCTATATATCTTCCCTATCTATATATTATATCTTTTTTGGTGTGTGTGTGCGCGCCCGCCCTCCTGCGTACCTTCTTGTTGCATACCCTTAGGGAGTCCTTTCTTGTTACATACCCTAGGGAGAGGAGATGATGAGTAGGAGGATGTAATGTCTCTGTAATAGTTATGAATGTTACTTTTCTTGGACAGTTATCCATGGGACCATGGCCATCTATGGATAATTTTATAAATATGCCATTGTCCGACCTAAGCTTACTATATATTTGGGGACGGCGCCTCCACTGTCCTCTCAATCTCTGTTTCTCAAAAGAAAAAAAAAACCTCCTCTCAATATCTGCCTCTACCTCGCAGGCCCACCCACCGCCGTCGCCAAGAGCGGCACAACTATTCAGGCGACCAGTGATGTGTGGCCTGCGCCGCAGTATATGGTATACCCCCAAGTCCCCATTCTCCCGCTTTGCTTGTGTATTGTAAAATCTTGTTCTTGGGTTTGAATGTGCACGAACGCTAGGTTCTCATGAGGAGATTGAGGGGTGGGGAAAGAGACGCAGAAATTGACCCAGATTTTACAATGCGAAATTCCATGTCCCCCTTTTAGTATTTGCTTTTCACTGTTATGCCATGTAGCACTTTCGGCATATCTGTAATACCGTCTTCTTATGTTGGCTCCTCCATGAGCGCATCCGCGTTGCCGCTGTGTTCTCTCCTCGGAAATACAGACGTGTCTTTTTTCACGACATCTCATATGATTTCTTGAGATGATGTGTTTCCATATGCCTCCAATTCATATTTCATAGCGGATAGGATCGTTTATTGTCACATCCCTCTCTCCCAATAGCTCGGGACCCTCGGTGCAGTTCGTCTTTGTTTCTCCACTGGTACTATCCTACATAGTTAGAGGCTACAAGAGACAACAGGGAGCAATGCTTCCTTTATAAGTGCCGATCATGCTTTGGCCGAGAGAGGCTGGTGAGCACATTAGCTATTCACCCATTCATTTTTTGACCAAGTCTTGGAGTCTGATGTACCCAGCCTTAATTGCAGTTTCTCCAAAGAGGTTTGGCCACATGTGTTCTTTTGCTCCATTGAGCCTACTACTGAACTACACTGATGAATTAAAGGATCAAATGAAGACAGGGCTGCTGCTCAATTTCTTTTTATATGTTTTTTTTGATGAAAAATAGCTAGCACCGATTTCATTTCATTAAGAGAAAGGCCGAGAAGGCCGAATTACAGAGTTAAAAGTTAGCAGCTAACTATGTACTGTATGCTAAGAGTTTCTTTTTTGCAGGTGGGAAACTGTATGCTAAGAGTTTTTTTTTTGCAAGAAAAGATAGCCCTAGGGCCATATTTGATTGATAGATCAGAGAGAGGAATAGAAAGTGCATTAGAGCTACAGTTAGGCCAGAGGGTTTTGGAGCATTTCCAGGGGTTACAACCAGCATACAGCAAGATAATATTCAGCACTCAAGGCGGTTGAAACAGTCGGTCAGTAGGCTTATACCAGCCGTCGACAAGCATCTCGCCTCGTCCGTGGTGCGTCCCATGAGCTGTGGAACGGTGCACTCAGTGGCGTTGAAGACGTGGTTGTTGCGTTCTTTCCAAAGCATCCAGGAAGCCAAGCAGATGGCTGACTTCCAGGTCTTCTTTTCATTAGGTCGGAGCAAGCTCAGCTGCGTGTTCCAATTTGCTTTCAGATTTTGGATGCTAAGAGTTAGAAACCCGTGCGTTTGTGCATTGACCAAACCTGCATTGTACCACTGTATCAGTTCGTCATTGATAAGCGAAGACGTTTTTGTGGGTGGGTGGGGGTGCTCGATTTGTGCTTGAAAATGCGAGAAGAGAGAATTGTAGGTCCACTTGCTATTCTCCACTATCCAAACAACGACTAAAAATATCTAACAAGTGTTTCGTGTTATGAAGATAGCATATTTTTTCCGGGTTAATTTGATGCTTTTCTGCTAATAAGGTGTAAATTGTACACTCCAATCAACTTTTATTTGTTTGTAAAAGTGTACTACTGGAGAAGAGAGGATCGTTGATCCACTTGCTTCATACGGAAATCATCAGTTACACGAGAGTATGTTTTTTTTAGGGGCTTACACGAGAGCCTTCCTAGTTCGCTTCTGGCCCGGCCCAGCCCGTTCGTCTCCAGTTTCGTCTCGCCTCCGGCGGCCCCGACGGCGAGCCGGAGACGGCACCCATCTCAATCTCAACGGCCGCCACCTCGCGAGCCCACCCACCGCGCTTCCTCCCTCTACCTCCGGCGACCAATGAAGCGGCGGCCTGCGGCGAGGTATACTCCCCAACTCCCCGTTCTCCCCCTTTGCTCGCGTACAACAAAATCTAGGTTCTCATGAGTCACCTGAGGCGGCTGAGTAAGAGGAGGAGCGGCACAAACTGATCCAGGTTCTACAAAGTGAAATTCCTTGTTCCCCTTGCAGTATTTTCATGTCAGCTGTGGAGACTGGAGACATGTGTCACTTCGGGCAGATCTGTCCTCCGCGGATTCGTCGGAGCTGCGGCTGCTCTCTCCTTCGGGCGTCCCATATGATTTGTCAAGATGATGGGTTTCCATATGCCTCCCATTCATGTTTCATGGCAGATTGTATCTCCCACGCTAGTGAGCCTTGACCCTGTTCTTATTTGTTTGGCTGCTAGCACTTTATCCTGATAATATAGTTAGAGGCTACAAGAGACTACAGAGAGCAATGCTTCCTTTATAAAGTGCCGGTCATGCTTTGACTGAGAAAGGTTGGTGAGCACATTAGCTATTCACCCATTCAATTTCTAACCAAGTCTTGGAGTCTGCCCGGTCATCCCACAGTCTTGATTGCCGTTTTTCCAAAGAGTTTTGGCTATTTATGTGTGCTTTTGCTCCACTGCACCCCTGGCTTCTACACTAAAAACTGATTTGTCAAGCTGGTGAGAACGATGCGTTCGGAGCGGGCACTGGAAACCAAAGTCATGCTCAACATTATAGCCTCATGCACCATCTAAAATTTGTTCAAGGAGCGAACTGCTCGAATTTTCAGTGAGACCCTGTTTGCATTCATAGAAACTGCTAGCATTCTTATTTGTAGCCTCTGTTTTCCCCTTTTTTTTCCCGCTGGGTTGCAAATCCTATCCGTACACTAATTAACTCCAAAGTGAAATCAACATGCCATCTAGCACAACAGAAAATCTCAACATCATGATGCTTCAGTTCAACGGTTTCTGCATCTGAGCAGAATAGAGAAGTTCATGCAACATGAAGGCACTGCACTAGATCTGGCAGCGGTTCCAGCATCAATCTTGTACTACCTCTGCCCCATAATGTAAGATGTTTTTGCAGTTTAATTTGAACTGCAAAAACGTCTTATATTATGGGCCGGAGGGAGTAGTTAGCATTTGTAGTAGGATGGAAGTTTTAGATAGAAGCCTTCCGTCTTGTCATCTTTACATGGAGGTTTTATTCATGCATCATTTCAAACTATTGGCATGTAGGTTTTCTAGTTCTTTTAACATCTGACAATGTGCTATAGTGGAAGCCTGAATAGTTTCTTCCATACCCTTCCAGATTTTTTTCCAAATGCATGCTGCATTGCTTCTCCTTGAATTTGCAAATTTCGTTCTAGCTTTTGCATTTTATTCTCAACTATAACTATTGTACTATCCCGAGACAACTTTTCTGAACACTCCTCGCTTTGAAATCAGGAATTTGCAGAATACTTGATGATCAAATATTATACTCCCTCTACCCCAAAATAAGTGTCTCGCCTGTACTATCTTTAGTACAAAGTTGAGACACTTATTTTGGGACGGAGGGAGTATTTTTCATTATGAAAATTTATAGGAAAAGTGAGGATTTTCTCTAACTTTCATTGAGGAGTCGACGAGCTTTCTGAAGCAAGAAAAGATGATTTGCCCCTAGGGTGTATTACGGCTTGGTCCACAACTTGGCCTTAGTAACCAGACTGTAGGGGAGCTGGCCACCACTTCCTCTACACCTTTCTGCCCACCCTCCATGCTACCTTTTCTATCCAAACTGAGCTGCCATTCAGGCAACAACTGCACTCCTCTAAAGGGTACTACCACACACCTCGATATTATGCCACAGTGCTGATGTCTCCTCTTCTCCTAAGAAATAAGTGGTATTGAGTTGTTTCTACATCCATATAGATTGTGCCATGTGATGTATTTTCAATATGCTTCCCATCCATAACGTATTGCACCGTAACAATCCACCATGATTGTAATTGTGTTGGAATTTGCCACATGATCGATCACATCAAATAACAATGAACAAACACGCACAAAAACTTTTGCCAAGGGCACGTGTTGTTCTCCTCGTTCTCTTTATTCCTTTTCTGTTTTTCTCTCCACGGTTTGATCTCGTACAGCCTCAGTGTATATATATACGCAACCAAGCCGATGCAAACTAAACATGTTCATACCTGACACGGCTAGTCAAACCTTAGGACTAGACTCCAACACACACTTACCAATTCGGCAAAGCTGACTACTACTAGGACTCCTACCAGGACAACGTGGACCAAGTACTACTACTACACGTCTAGCCTAACTAGGACACAACCTTGCAGCTAACTCAAGATTACTTCTAACAATCTCTCCCTAATCTTGACACTATCTTCCGTGCTTCTTCTGATCTTGGCTTGTTGATGATCATCCCTTGCCGATTCATCCGCTCGCACCACGACAAGTCAAATTGTTGGCTTGGTTGCTTGCAACAATCTCGCCCTTCAATTTTGACTTGGTGAATTTACGGACCACCTCAAATATGCCTTGGACTACCCAGCCTCGCTAGTATCCTGTGGAATACCCCACCCGGTGGACTTCACCATCCACCCTAGCAAGATACATGCCGACTCCTTGTGGATCACACCACCCCGTGGACTACACGCCCACTCTAGCCTCATGTAGAGACATGGCCTCATTGAAGAGACTCACCTTCACTGGTTTACCGCCCCCACATAGTTGAACTTGATCCTCTCGTCGAGACACATAGACGACCTGGATGCGCTTCATCTTCAATGCCTTCTTACAGAGACAAGCACTTTGGACATGACGACGACTCACTGACACGATGACGACCGACTGACCAACCAATCGACCGTGCTAACCCGCATGACTCCTTGACTCTAACTCCCGGACAACGATCTTGACGACTTTCCGGCACCGCACCACGGCACCACCGCTCCCGTCAACAATCTCCATCCGCCTTGCCGACGACATCCCTGCCGCCTCCCTCCTTGTCGCTCTGCTGAACGACGATCGCTAGAACCTCCTCATTGCGGCACCGCCCAGCGACTTCATCGCCCGCCCCGATGTGCTAGTAGGTCGCCACCCCGGGGCAAGCGCGGCTTCAAATCGAACCTTGCTCGGATACCAATTGTTGGAATTTGCCCACAGGATCAATCACATCAAATAACAATGAACACATGCGCACAAAAACTTTTGCCAAGGGCACGTGTTGCGCCCCTCTTTCTCTTTATTCTTTTTCTGTTTTTCTCTCCACGGTTTTATCTCGTACAACCTCCCGTGTATATATATATATATGCAACCAAGCCGATTCAAACTAAACTTGTTCGTACCTGACATGGCTAGTCAAACCTAATAATACTAGACTCCAACACACACGTACCAACTCGGCAAAGCTGACTACTAGGACTCCTACCAGGACAACGTGGACCGAGTACTACTACTACACGTCTAGCCTAATTGTTGGCTTGGTTGCTTGCAACAAATTGCACTCACTCTCTCCAGAGCCTTGACTACCTTCAACTTAGTTTGGGTGGTAGCAATGTCTGATAAGATGGATACGTGGCTACGGAGGCATTGCATCCTTTATATGGGTGGATCATGCTTACATCTGCAAGGTTGGTGAGCACGTTAGCTATCCATCCATTAACCCCAAACAAAAATCAACATATCATCTAGTACAGCAGGGAACTTCAATATTAAGGTGCTTCAGTTCGATGGTTGAGCATCGAATGAAAACAGAGGAAAGGTACATTTTATAAGATATAGTGAAGTGAGAGAATAGGCTAGTTTTTACTGGTGGGCCGTGAGGCATTACTGGTAGGCGTGGCCGTACAGCAGCACAACACTGCGGTGAGTCTAGCAGCAGTTCCATGCTATTCGTGGCAAGCTGCAGCTTTGTGGGTACCTGTGCGGCTCAAGTACTAAGCAGATTCGTCCATTCACTATTCGATTGCTTCAAGGACTTCAGTGTCTTTTTGAAACCGAAGCACTTGTAGTGTTGTCTTGTTATGCTATGTGTCTATTTTCTTAGTGTAGTGCTGCTCACTTTATCTCAACAAAAGCTCTTTTTAGTCCCTGTTCTGAGATATTCTGAAATTTGTTACATAGTGATTAAACTGTTCTCTCTCGAAAATTACAAATTTTCTAATTCTCTCCTTTGTTCAGTGTCTTTGCAGGATCAGAGGTTCAGTCTGTACCTAAGAAGGCCAAAAAAATGATACACTTTTCTAGAGATGAACTGACGGGGTCAGCATTTGTTGCATTTGGCATCATATTATTTGTGGGTTTCTTCTATGCCGCTGTTGTGTCCAAAATGCTTCCACCTTACGAGAACCGGCTTCTGTCTGCCATCCAAAATGATAGGTAAGAAATTTTAAAAGAAAACAGACGATCACCAAATTCTTTTTTTCTTTTCCTTTGTAGCTGATGTTTGATTACGGAGTTTTTACTTAATTGCCGCAAACTATTTAACAGAATATACAAATTTTATATGTGCACACCTTAATGTAAACCAAGTCAAATCTAGCTGGAAGTTAGTACCACTTACTTTGATCTTTGACTTACCAGGTATTACTGCCTACTTGTGCCCTTGACACTTCCTATGATAATTGTGGCTGTCTATCTGCATTGGCTAAGCATGAAGATGTTCAAGCATGCCTGAAGAACCAAAAATTAGTTTTACGGATGAAGCCTGCAATCCTTGCTGAAATGGTAGATCACGGGAATCATGAAGACAATTTTAACCGATAAATATGAGAAGGCATGTCTTGGGTCTTCTGCATTCCACACATTCTTTTGTAAATAATATGAACTTTGATTAGTTTTCAAGCATAAATTGATGCCAACTTACCAAATTGACCTCAGTGTCACTGCTAGGTATCAAAATGATTACATTTATGTTTAGAAAACATATTTGTGTTTTTGAAATGCTTACGATGGAAACTATGTTTTTACTTGTTAAATGTTTATATGATGGAAAATGCAGTCATAATTCTTATAATTTTTTTCTTTGTTAACATGAAAAATACTTGCAGCTTGTTTGAATAGATAATATGTTGATAGCTCGATTTCTGTGTATCTTGTGCATATGCTTATGCCATGTGTGGCCTATTTCTTAGTGACAATACAAACATGTTAGCACAGTTTTGTGTAGTCAAACAAAACCACCGTTTCCTGTTATGTACAAACTCTTCTCTTTTTTGATTGGTGTGTTTGTTCGTTTTATCCTCTGCTGATAATACTTGGTAGCATTTACTTGCATCTTGAAGTGGGAAAGCCAATGATACTGCAGTTTTAGTACTTTTTTTATATCATCATATGGCTAACTCTGTTTGCTTCTATATCTTGTGCTTATATATTATACTCCCTCCGTCCGGAAATACTTGTCATCAAAATGAATAGAAGGGGATGTATCTAGATGTATATTAGTTCTAGATACATCCCTTTTTATCCATTTTGATGACAAGTATTTTCGGACGGAGGGAGTATCTGTTTTGGTGTGTGTATGTGCCCGCATGCCTTTCTTGTTGCATGCCCTCCGGGAATCCTTTCTTGTTGCATACCCCGACGGAGAGGAGATGGTTATGATGAGGCTCAAAAAGATGATGATGATAGATGCTGAGGCCTTGAGGGTGTATTGGAAACCTGTTGTTCTTTCTATTCAGTTCAAGTAGTTGAGTTACAATATAGTATATTTTTCAAAGTACATGTTCTAACATAATAAATATAAAATCTCAACCTGATTACACTATGTTTTTAAATTAAGCATTGCGTGTTCATCTGCTGAAGCAATGTATTTTACTTTTTATTGAGTTGAAGTCAGCCATTTCATATTAAGCAAACAGTGACTGGATCAGTTCCTTACCCGGTGCAATGCTATATGTACCTACTCTGGGTCATCTTTTTCAGGTACATTTGAGGAATATTTGCCAATCAGTTCCCATTTAAAATATCTACTTCTTTCTATACCACAGCTCTACCTTTATGGTTTATATTCTTGATCTTCTCATCCCTCATATTCACTTCTTCCTAAATGATTTGGCACTCCTTAATTAATGTATGTAATTTATTGTTTGGTTTAGTATTCCTTGCCTTTTGTTTAGAACATTTTCACCTATGTACAAAAGCTAGCATCTGATGTCAACTCAAATCTATATTATCTTATAGGTCAATGGTTGGTTACAATGTTTAGCTCGATTCTTGGT